GTGTTGAGCCTACTCAGTCCTGTTCAATGATGAGTGTGTGTGTGCACTTGTCCTTGTAGCCAACTTCACCCCCTCCCCCCTCCCGCCACTCCTGCCAAGGCCAACACCCCCTGCCTGCCCACCCTCGGCCCAGCCCACCCCCCGCCTGCCACCCTCAGCCCGGTTGTTTTACCCACCCAGAGCCGCCAAGGCCGCCCCACCCCCACCCGCTGTACCATCAACCTCCCCAAACTTCTGCTTTTATTAATGTTATTCGCAATTTCAGTCATTTAGAGTCGTTGCGTAACCAGTTATAGAGAATCAGTAGATAAGCCACTGGCCGTAAGTACATTTTGTACATTTCTCAATTCTTCTCTGGGGTTCTAAGATATCTTTGTTGTGCAATAAATAGTAAGGAGTTGGGAGCAATACAGCCAGGACCACACCCAGGCCACCTGAGGTCACAGCATCATGGGAACAAGAATTTCCAGCTCTTTTACATATAAATAACACATTATCTGTCAAGGAATACAATATTCGTTGATTGCTGTATGAAAATACACAGTCGTTCGTTGTATTAATTGTTATATGTGAATGTTTTCACATAATTAAATCACGTAATTATATTCCAAGTGCATATTTTTTTTTTTTTTTTGAGATATATACAAGAGTTGTTACATTCTTGTACAGCCACTAGTACGCGTAGCGTTTCGGGCAGGTCCCTGGAATACGATCCCCGCCGCGAAGAATCGTTTTTTCATCCAAGTACACATTTTACTGTTGCGTTAAACAGAGGCTACAGTTAAGGATTCGCGCCCAGTAAATCCTCCCCGGCCAGGATACGAACCCAGGACATAGCGCTCGCGGAACGCCAGGCGAGAGTGAAATAATAATCAATCCGCTTGGCAATTGTGTCCGGCTGTGGAGTTCTTAGTTATATCGAAGAGTGGGGAAAAGCAGTTGTTTAATGTTACCTCTCAAGGGAGATTGGCCGGCTATCTTGAGGTTATCTTGAGATGATTTCGGGGTTTAGTGTCTCCGCGGCCCGGTCCTCGACCAGGCCTCCACCCCCCAGGAAGCAGCCCGTGACAGCTGACTAACTCCCAGGTACTTATTTACTGCTAAGTAACAGGGACAACAGGGTGAAAGAAACTCTGCCCATTGTTTCTCTCCGTCGCCCGGGATCGAACCCGGGACCACAGGATCACGCGTTCAGTGTTCTGTCCGCTCAGCCACCGGCTAATGGGGTGGTTCGTTGACGCCATCGTCAGAATACGTCAGCCATGGTCACGGCTCCCCTAGTGTTGTGAAGCCAGGCTGAAGGTCCGCGTAGAAAAGCTTAGTTGTTAGAGATGTTATAATTAATCAAACGGAGGATGAGTCAGCAATGGAGGACCCGGAGTGCGTAGACGACTTGGTACAAAATGTAGAGGGTTGTGAGAGCCAAGTTGTTGTGGATAATCCATTATCTCATTATAATTCTCGATACGACTGAATTAAAACTAATTGTATTTGAATGTGTGGACAGCGGGTAGTGCCGCCGACCAGCGTTAAGACACTCACCGGTATTATGTCAGTTTACTCGTAGCTCACCTGTAGCTACATGCAGGATATAAGTGGTCTTATAACCCACCACAGGTAAATCAAAGGCCAGTGTTTACCTGGTTGTTGCCTGTGGTAGAGGAGGACGGAGGCGGGTTTGCTTCTTACTACGCAATACCTCTAAGTCCGCGGCGCCACGGGTCCTCTCCCCAGGACACGCCGCCCACCGCCCCCTCCGCCCACCTCCCACCCAGTGGGGACAATATCCAAGAGCAACGTTAATTCAACGTCGAACCAACGTGTCCACTTGGCTCATGCTTCCCAGCGCAATCATCAGATCCAGACAGCACCATGCACAAACGGAATGTAAACATGTTCTCCAGGAAAGATTAGTTAGTACCCACCAGCAGCACTTCGTGGTCAGAGTTTGTTATTAATACCTTTGTTTTATTCTCGGAGTGACTGCTCTCACATACTCAACGATCATGTTTTCATCCTATGCGACTGCACATTATGTGGTTTCGTATAAGGCTAGAAGCTCTCTTAACTGTATCTGCATAGCTGCATGTGACTTCACTAAAATATTGTTACGCTGTTTTCGGGATGAATTCACAGGTTAGGTTATCCTAAACACAGGATAACACAGGCCACAAAACTGTATCCAAATAGTACAGCACAGAGCCCCATGGGGCTATACCCAAATAATACAGCACAGAGCCCCATGGGGCTGTTCCCAAATAGTACAGCACAGAGCCCCATGGGGCTGTTCCCAAATAGTACAGCACAGAGCCCCATGGGGCTGTTCCCAAATAGTACAGCACAGAGCCCCATGGGGCTGTTCCCAAATAGTACAGCACAGAGCCCCATGGGGCTGTTCCCAAATAGTACAGCACAGAGCCCCATGGGGCTGTTCCCAAATAACACAGCACGGAGCGCCATGGTACTGTATCCCAGTAACAACGCTTCAGGAGAATGTACCGTGCCTGGTCAGCTATATAATATATTGTACTGTTAAATATCTAATTGAGTAATTTAACTCATAACTTGTTTGTGGTCAGAGGGTGTTAGCCACATTTTTTATGAGGTACCTGCCTCACTGCCACTGGCGTTGAGGACCTCTTGGGTCACTGCCACTGGCGTTGAGGACCTCTTGGGTCACTGCCACTGGCGTTGAGGACCTCTTGGGTCACTGCCACGGACGTTGATGACCTCTTGGGTCACTGCCACTGGCGTTGAGGACCTCTTGGGTCACTACCACTGACGTTGATGACCTCTTGGGTCACTGCTACTGGCGTTGATGACCTCTTGGGTCACTACCACTGACGTTGATGACCTCTTGGGTCACTACCACTGACGTTGATGACCTCTTGGGTCACTGCTACTGGCGTTGATGACCTCTTGGGTCACTACCACTGACGTTGATGACCTCTTGGGTCACTACCACTGACGTTGATGACCTCTTGGGTCACTACCACTGACGTTGATGACCTCTTGGGTCACTACCACTGACGTTGAAGACTTCTTGGGTCACTGCTACTGGCGTTGAGGACCTCTTTGGTCACTGCTACTAGCGTTGAGGACCTCTTGGGTCACTGCTACTGGCGTTGAGGACCTCTTGGGTCACTGCTACTGGCGTTGAGGACCTCTTTGGTCACTGCCAAGGCGTTGAGGACCTCTTGGGTCACTGCTACTGGCGTTGATGACCTCTTGGGTCATTGCCAAGGCGTTGAGGACTTCTTGGGTCACTGTTACTGGCGTTGAAGACTTCTTGGGTCACTGTTACTGGCGTTGAGGACTTCTTGGGTCACTGTTACTGGCGTTGAGGACTACTTGGGTCACTGTTACTGGCGTTGAGGACTTCTTGGGTCACTGCTACTGGCGTTGATAACCTCTTGGGTCATTGCCAAGGCGTTGAGGACCTCTTGGGTCATTGCCAAGGCGTTGAGGACTTCTTGGGTCACTGTTACTGGCGTTGAAGACTTCTTGGGTCACTGTTACTGGCGTTGAGGACTCTTGGGTCACTATTACTGGCGTTGAGGACTCTTGGGTCACTGTTACTGGCGTTGAGGACTCTTGGGTCACTGCCACTGGCGTTGAGGACTCTTGGGTCACTGCCACTGGTGTTGAGGACTCTTGGGTCACTGCCACTGGCGTTGAGGACTCTTGGGTCACTGCCACTGGCGTTGAGGACTCTTGGGTCACTGCCACTGGTGTTGAGGACTCTTGGGTCACTGTCACTGTCGTTGAGGACCTCTTGGGTTACCCGTTGGGTCCTCAGCACCACTAATTATGTAGAACAACCACTTAATTACTGCTATTATCTACACTAATGTTAGGGTGAGGTTTGGTTACTTTATATTTCATTAAGTTTGGTTACGTTAATTAGGAGTAACTTACAATAATTAGAAGTATTATTGACGATAATGTGTAATATAGAATTCAAAAAATATTTGAGTGTACCCGATAATTCTATTTACAGAAAACCAAATTCTAAAAGGAAAAGGGTTTTCAGAGCATACTGTTTATATTTTAAACCGGCAATTTATCTGAATTTACTTTAACCATAGTTCCACCAATACTAGTGGCCTCGATGGGGACAGGAAGCCGGCGGCTTATCTAAGGTCCCTCCATTTTAAAACCCCAGCAGAGTTTTGGTGTTTACGGCTTCGGCGGGTAGGCGGTTCCAAGGGTTTACAACCCTCTGGGTGAAAAAACATCTGTTTTCTGTCCTAAATTGTGGCTTGTTGAGCTTGAACCCGTTGCTCTTCGTTCGTGTTACATCCGACCTTTTGAAGAAATTGTCCGGATCTACATCCTCCAAATTCTTCAGAATTTTAAATGTTTCGATAAGATCCGCCCTGTCATGCCTAGTTTGCAGTGTTGTTAGTTATAAAACAATAAGTTATAACTTGAGAATATTATCTTTTGAGGACAAAGGTTCGCTTGCCAGTTTACATATAGACTATTACTCGAGCCATAATACACTTTCAGACTATCATAAATATCAAGAAAACTATCCAGGTAACTAACTATATATATATATATATATATATATATATATATATATATATATATATATATATATATATATATATATATATATATATATATATATACGCACATGGTATACACATTTAGCCGAGCATGTAAACATAGTTGGGTTGGGAAGGGAAAGGAGACAGCTGGTCTGGTAAACCCGTACACTGCGGGCCAAAGATCACAGGAGTGTTGCAGTAATGTTGGCGCGCCGCGCTCTCCGTCTCTTTAAATATAAAGTTGCATTTATTTCCACTACCTCAAGTTTCTTGCTAGTTATAGTATATTCTTTATGTTGAGGTTGACACGTGATAAAATACATAAGATAAACAAAGATTTTTTTTTTAAAGCAGACAAATTATATTTGTTTTTAAAGCAGACAAATACATATATAAGTGATTACTTGCATCATAGAGTAATGAAGGTTGTGTGTATATCCACAGACCTGAGTGAGTGCCAGCTGTGCCAGGTGCCTGACGCCGTGTTCCACCTGATGAGGAACACCCCGCTCACCACCTGCAACCTGTCCGGCAACCTGCTCTCCAAGATCCCTCCCAAGTTTGCCCTCAAGTTCTGCCTCATCACCGGTAAGGCCTCCACTGTGGCGTCACGTTCTCGCTCACACACCTCTTTCCTCCGTCCTCACGTTGTGTGGCATTGTTTGACGTGCTACAAGTTAGGTGTTTAGCCTGTCCGGTATGTCCCGGAAGTTAGGTAGGTGGGGGCGGCGTGCAGGTCAGGTAGGTGGGGGCGGCGTGCAGGACAGGTAGGTGGGGGCGGCGTGCAGGCCAGGTAGGTGGGGGCGGCGTGCAGGCCAGGTAGGTGGGGGCGGCGTGCAGGCCAGGTAGGTGGGGGCGGCGTGCAGGTCAGGTAGGTGGGGGCGGCGTGCAGGTCAGGTAGGTGGGGGCGGCGTGTAGGCCAGGTAGGTGGGGGCGGCGTGCAGGCCAGGTAGGTGGGGGCGGCGTGCAGGTCAGGTAGGTGGGGGCGGCGTGCAGGCCAGGTAGGTGGGGGGGGCGTGCAGGCCTGGTAGGTGGGGGCGGCGTGCAGGCCTGGTAGGTGGGGGCGGCGTGCAGGTCAGGTAGGTGGGGGCGGCGTGTAGGCCAGGTAGGTGGGGGCGGCGTGCAGGCCAGGTAGGTGGGGGCGGCGTGCAGGTCAGGTAGGTGGGGGCGGCGTGCAGGCCAGGTAGGTGGGGGCGGCGTGCAGGCCTGGTAGGTGGGGGCGGCGTGCAGGCCTGGTAGGTGGGGGCGGCGTGCAGGTCAGGTAGGTGGGGGCGGCGTGTAGGCCAGGTAGGTGGGGGCGGCGTGCAGGCCAGGTAGGTGGGGGCGGCGTGCAGGTCAGGTAGGTGGGGGCGGCGTGCAGGCCAGGTAGGTGGGGGCGGCGTGCAGGCCTGGTAGGTGGGGGCGGCGTGCAGGCCAGGTAGGTGGGGGCGGCGTGCAGGCCAGGTAGGTGGGGGCGGCGTGCAGGCCTGGTAGGTGGGCGGCTCCTGCACTGGGAACAAAGGACTCCATGACTCAGAGGGCAGCCACCCACTACACCAGCGTCCGGGTTGGCGATGCTTCTACCCGTCTCCACCATGCACCAGCTCCTGTCACCACCCTCAGGTCCCACACAGCCTCTTCCCAACCCGTCTTGCCTCTCAAACTGTCGGGAAGGGGAAGTGGTTGATGGGGTGGTGGTAGTAGCCAGTGGTGGAGTGTTGGGTGAGTTGTGGTGGTAGCTAGAACTGGTGGGTATGGCGCAGCGAGTGAATTCCTGTGCAGGGCGGGTCAGGCGGGCATGAGACCGATGCTGGGGCATGGTGTAGCCTGCGTCCTCACACCGCCACATCATTACAAATAAATATAAACAAATATTTATTTATAAACCCTTTATAAATAAACTATTCTAAATCACGCCCTACTAGAAAAGACCAAACCATCTTGCTTGCTTAAAGTTTACTGTTCCCAAGACAGCATCCTTAAGCACAGCATCTCTTTACTCAACGTCATAAAGCACATATACGATAATGGCGTCTAGGATATTGCTATTTGAAGGCTGTAGTAACACCTCTGACTACAGCATAAAGCCACAGCATTAAAAAAACACAACAGCATAGAACACAACATCTCACCTCAAAAGAATCATGGTGCACATTTAAGTTATATTTATAGTTTTACATCTTGAGAAAACCCAAGAGTTTAGGGAGACTCCATCTAGTATAAAAACGTTCCCCCATACTCAGCACAAGTGTCAAAGGAGTACATGAGACAAAGAATGACCAGAGGCGCACAAAGCTGGCAGGGAGAAAGGTAGGGGAAGGGATACGAGAAGTGATGGTCTGGAGGGGTATGGCTGCAAGAGAAGGGAGATCTGCCAAGTTAAGCAGAAATAACGGGTGGTGGGGATTGTTTGATGGTACGTCAAGATGAGGACAGGAAGAAGGGGGTGGTGGTGGTGGGAGGTGTGGTAAGGCAGGGAGGGAGGCGGGAAGCCCGTTGATTCACCTGGGCAACCCTCCATGGCACGGTGCCCATCGCCCATCGCCAAGCGTGGTAAAAAAATACCCTGTTATAACAGTACACATGCCGCTATATTTTTTATATAAAGTCAATTTGTGTCTTGTGCAAGTTCATGACGAAATCCGTGATGGAGGCAATATAGTGTGGCCAGCAAGCGTAATCTGCAGACGTTGAGGAAGACGAGAATATAGACAAAGAGGCAGGGAAATCCGGCCACATGGAGTCTGGCGACGACAACATAGCCACGTGCTGCCACTGGCATCCAACGGCGTCAATATGTGCGCAATATGCCCCCGTTCCTCGTTGTTGAAACATAGCAATGAGCTATATACCCAGAGGTCAACACTTTGTAGCGGCTTTCTCACCTCTCACCAGCTGATGGGTTTAATAATATCGGTGTTTTATTTATTGTTCTCATCTGATGTGGGGTCGACGAGCCCCCACCATCTATTTTAAGGAAAGTGCGGAAGTTCTCTCTTGTCTACGGAATGTCACTCACTACTAGAGCAGGACACTAAACATAAATCTAATTAAAGGCAGGACCCTCTATAATTTACAAGATATTGGCCATGACATATGACAGTTGAAAATAATTTGGTGTGTATGTGAGTTGTCACACAGTTAGCACGAATGTACACCAGTGTTGAAGTTTACACGCGTATGTCCTCATCCAAATGAATCGGCAGCTTCGTCAAAATTGTTGATGACCAATATACCACACATATGTTATATACATTTTGGCTTTATTCATTTTATTCACAAACCTAAGTACATCAGCATTGCTCACCTGCTCTGATCCGTATGACGGTACAGAGATAAGGTCACTAGACTACCTGTGTTTAACTGGCACAATGGTAAGGTCAGGTTAGTTTCCCCTTGTTTGAAACAGGACTCCTGTTAGGATTATCGAGGTTTGCCCTGGGTCAAAGACTGACTTTCCTCAGGATTCAGATCTATAACATTCGACCAGCCGCTCCCAGGTGCATATTTACAGATAGGTGAACAGAGCCATCGGGTATAAGGAATCGTATCCAAACGTTTCGCCCTGCCCGGAAATCCAACCTACGACCTACGGCTGTGAGCTACAGTGAGCTAAAGGCCACACATAGGGTTGTGAACGGTGAGGATATCCTTCAGTACGTAAGAATAGCTAAAACATCTACCTATAACCTAGACCTAAGGACAAGATCTACGCGATAATTAGCTTCTCGGTGTAAGCCGATTTGTTATTTACTCATAAGTTATCTTATTGCTAAGCGAATTTATGGCCTTCATTTTAGGATAACTTTGTGATTGTTATTGATATGAATGTCATGGCATCAAGATGGTTGCACTATGGCCAAACTTATGAGACCTCTGCTCTATTAACAACTGTTTTTAAGAATATAAATATTACGGTAAGATGTTTAATCTTACTGGAGAAAACGTTTTGTCCCTTGATTGTCTGGAGATGACGATAATAACCGGAACACGAACTTAGCAACATGTGTCACTAGTTCAGTGGACTTGGTTGAGGTCACTAGTTCAGTGGACTTGGTTGAGGTCACTAGTTCAGTGGACTTGGTTGAGGTCACTAGTTCAGTGGACTTGGTTGAGGTCACTAGTTCAGTGGACTTGGTTGAGGTTGATAGTTCAGTGGACTTGGTTGAGGTTGATAGTTCAGTGGACTTGGTTGAGGTTGATAGTTCAGTGGACTTGCTTGAGTTTACTAGTTAAATGGACTTGGTTGAAGTTACTAGTTCAGCGGACTTGGTTGAGGTTGATAGTTCAGTGGACTTGGTTGAGGTTAATAGTTCAGTGGACTTGGTTGAGGTTACTAGTTCAGTGGACTTGGTTGAGGTTACTAGTTAAATGGACTTGGTTGAGGTTACTAGTTCAGCGGACTTGGTTGAGGTTACTAGTTCAGTGGACTTGGTTGAGGTTACTAGTTCAGCGGACTTGGTTGAGGTTGCTAGTTCAGTGGACTTGGTTCAGGTTACTAGTTAAATGGACTTGGTTGAGGTTACTAGTTCAGTGGACTTGCTTGAGGTTACTAGTTAAATGGACTTGCTTGAGGTTGATAGTTCAGTGGACTTGGTTGAGGTTGATAGTTCAGTGGACTTGCTTGAGGTTACTAGTTAAATGGACTTGGTTGAGGTTACTAGTTCAGTGGACTTGCTTGAGGTTACTAGTTAAATGGACTTGGTTGAGGTTGATAGTTCAGTGGACTTGGTTGAGGTTGATAGTTCAGTAGACTTGGTTGAGGTTACTAGTTCAGTGGACTTGGTTGAGGTTACTAGTTAAATGGACTTGGTTGAGGTTGATAGTTCAGCGGACTTGGTTGAGGTTACTAGTTCAGTGAACTTTGTTGAGGTTACTAGTTCAGCGGACTTGGTTGAGGTTACTAGTTCAGTGGACTTGGTTCAGGTTACTAGTTAAATGGACTTGGTTGAGGTTACTAGTTCAGTGGACTTGCTTGAGGTTAGTAGTTAAATGGACTTGGTTCAGGTTGCTAGTTCAGTGGACTTGGTTGAGGTTGCTAGTTCAGTGGACTTGGTTAAGGTTACTAGTTAAATGGACTTGGTTGAGGTTGCTAGTTCAGTGGACTTGGTTAAGGTTACTAGTTAAATGGACTTGGTTGAGGTTGATAGTTCAGTGGACTTGGTTGAGGTTGCTAGTTCAGTGGACTTGCTTCAGGTTGCTAGTTCAGTGAACTTGGTTGAGGTTGCTAGTTCAGTGGACTTGGTTGAGGTTACTAGTTAAATGGACTTGGTTGAGGTTGCTAGTTCAGTGGACTTGGTTGAGGTTGCTAGTTCAGTGGACTTGGTTGAGGTTGCTAGTTCAGTGGACTTGGTTGAGGTTGCTAGTTCAGTGGACTTGGTTGAGGTTACTAGTTAAATGGACTTGGTTGAGGTTGCTAGTTCAGTGGACTTGGTTGAGGTTGCTAGTTAAATGAACTTGGTTGAGGTTGCTAGTTCAGTGGACTTGGTTGAGGTTGCTAGTTCAGTGGACTTGGTTGAGGTTGCTAGTTCAGTGGACTTGGTTGAGGTTGAGGCGGGGTTGTAAGTGAGGGGGGGGGGGAATGGGGTACAATGTCATTATGTGCCGTGCTTGTTACCATGCCTCTTGACGTCATCACTCAAGGCTCTTGTGCCTCTTCCTCTTAACCCTCGAGTTAATGAGGATATTTGAGGGGTTCGGTATTTGTTATCCTAATGCTAATGGCTGCAAAATATTTCGTCTGTTGAGTTTATTTTCGGGTGCATACAGATTTATATAGATTTTGACAGAATTATATCATTTCTACTCATTGTGTACTGTGAATTTTTTATTAGTGATGGTAAAAATAAAAAATAAATAGTTGTATATGTTCAAATTTTTTCTGCAGCACTTACGGAAATAGTTTTAGTTTATCCTACGCAGGCCTTAAGGAAGCAATAGCTGACCTAATGGCGTACAACAGCAAGTTGAGATGCCTGGCATTGTCCAGTGTTTGGCACCTGTGGAGGCTGCTCCGGACAAGTATTTTGTCTGCGACACATGTTTTGGGGCAAGTTGCCTTCTCTGATATTACACATAAATCACAAGATGGCACCGTGAAAGATAATTAGATGGTGTTTTTAGTCTAGAGAAGTGCGCAGGTGGTGCCAGGTGTACCTGCTGTGGGCATATCTTCCGCGTGGCTGCTGCCACTGTTGCCAAACCTTCCTCCTCCTTCTCCTCCGCCGCCGCCGCTCTGTGCCCTCTCGCCTTGTCCTCTGTTACACTTACAACTCTCCTGGTTTAGGGTACGAAAATACCCCCAACGGTAGTTAAGATGATAAGAATAAAGTCAATTGTGGAAGACCTATTGGCCCATATATACGGCAGCTCTTATTTATATTCACCCAAACTCATTCATGTGATATATACATGTTTCATTGAATATGACTGCATATTCTGTATTGATTATGTTCTTGTTTAGGGCTTCTATCCCTCTGACTAGTGCCCTTGCATCTTGGTTTAATTGAAAGAGGATTTCTCTAAATGTTATCTTGGTTTGAGGTGAAAAAAAAATAAATAATTAACTGTAGAATGTATTACACATGTTATAAACTTACTCATCGTTTCGAACCTACATGGTTCATTCTCAAGTGAAGGGACAGTGTTGTTGTTGTTGTTGTTTTAGATTTAGCTACTCAGAACGAAATGTCCATGTAGCACGGGTTCGTGCTAATTGAGTTTGATTATTTGCGATAACCTTGTTACTGTGATATTTGGGTCAAAGTTTTAAATGAAGGTGGGGTTTTTTCTTTTTCTCCCGTTTCTTTTCCGCTACTGTTTTAGCGCACTGGTTTTAGACTTGTTTTAATAACATTATCTTGGTGATGGATATCGACAGGGACCGTCCTGGGCGTATTGAACTATTAAGGACGTCAGGTACATAATACAAATAGGTGAGTCCATCGTGAAGGGAGAATAGGGCATAAATGGGGGACGTAAATTGGAACGTAAATTAATCAGGTGTAGTGGGCGTGGCATTTTGTGCAGTCTTCTTTGTTGGCATCTTCACGTTCCGGTCTTGTTCTTACTCTCATGGTGGGTAAAGTGAATAGTTACGCAATTTGGGTATTTATGGTGGGTTGTTCTATTTTTATGTGGAGTGCTTCAAGATTTTGTAATCTTCTCAAATCTTGGGTTTTGTCTATTATACAAGTGTTTTTATTCAACATTTCTCTTGTTAGGGTGATGTCATGGGCTTTTCTCATGTGATTTTTAGAGGCGCCTGATTAATGATGACAAGCCTTCTTTGTTTTATAGAATATGATTAGTTCTATGTTTTGGTTAGGAGTTGTGCTATTTACTCCTTTACGGATTATTTCTTTCATTATTCGTTCTTCTTTTTTATATTCACTATGCAAGGCTGATTTGTAATATAATTTTATTGGAGGTGTTGTGGTTTCTGTTCTTGATTCAGGATTGTACTATCGTTCTAGGTGTCGTCTTATAGTAGTGTGTATTTCTTTGTTGCTTTATCCATTGTTCACCAACACTTGAGTTATTCTTTCAAACTCCCTACTCACGTTACTCTTCCGAGCAGTGGGTAAGGGCTCGTCGAATATAAGCGTTGAGAACACTGGCTTTGTATCTTTGAGTTTTCAACAGTGAAGGAATGTAGTTCGTCCTGAAAAATATTACATAGATTTAAGATTTGCTCCAAACACTGGGATTAGCGGCCTTATGGCAAATAGGATACTGGGAAATATTTTTAGAAGCGTTAGCAATAAGACATATTTCTTAGCTTTATTTTGCCTTTGTTAGGCCCTATTTAGATTATGTAGTTCAGCTTTGGTCTCCATGCTAAATTCACTTGAATGCGTACAAAGAAGGATAATAACAATTGTAATAATTAATTGTGTCGGGAGACAGGAAGCCAGTTTATCCTTACAGTACATATTAGGCTTTTATCGAGGTCTCATCCCCCGAAGGTTGAATTACTGACGCTCCCCAGGATGCAACCCCACAGCAAGCTGACTAACTCTTGGTTACCTACTTTCTGCTAGAATGTGTGACTGACATTAATTAGGTGAAAGGAAACGCGCCCAACCACTTCTGTTCCACCCGGGATTTGAACCCGGAATTCTTGAATGTGAATCGAGAACGAACTCTACTTCTATCGGGAGCCTCTTGTCATCAACCGGATGACAAAGGTAATTTGAAGAAGTCGATACCTGCCGTACGATGACAACACAATACAGAACTCGAAGTGGTAGACATAAATTGGAGAGACTGCATTTGGAAAGACCTGGATAAATACTGGTTTGGAAAGAGAATTATTGATTTCTAAAACAAATTAACGGTTAACATAATATGACTGGGATCGGTAGTTGTTTCAAGCGTAGGTTAGACATGTGCATAAATAAAAATTAGGGTAGATATAAATAGGAGTAGTCTTGAGTAGGCCAATAGGCATTCTGCAGTTCTCTTTATTCTTATGTTTTAATAGTTGCAAAGTAATATATATACCGTATGTATATTTATCCTCATAAATATTACTGAGGGGGTTACCCGGCTGTGCCCTTGTCTCTCTTCCAATATCTCGTCTCTCTTTCCCTGCCCCCCCCCCCCCATCCTCTCATCCCATCTCCCACCTCTCTTCCCATCTCGTCCAAGATTCCCTTCCCTCTCTCTCTCCACTCTCTTTCCTAATCTCTCACCTCTCCCCGATTCTCTCTCTTCACCTTTCCCATCATCTCTTACCCTTCTCACTGTCCTCTCTCACCTACCCTCTATCCACCGTCTCCCCTCTCTGTCTTAGAAAATTAAATACTGTACTGGATTATTTTTTAACATATTTAATTTCATCTGCATTTGTGCAGCTCCCCTAAACTATATGAAGGGGAGTACAGAGTGTGTTAAAAAAACTAGTTAAATGACGCTAAAAATCCCCATTACACAGGATTTTTTTTATTAATACATTAGGTACATCTGCATTAGTGCAGCTGCCCTAGACTATATGAAGTGGAGTACAGTGTGTCAAAAAAGCTAACTAGGTGATGCTAAAACATCCCCATCACACAGGATGGTTAGTCATACAGAGGCATGTGATAGGCAGTCTGCACTGGCAGACTCCGGATGCATTTTGAGGATATCATCAACACAAAAGTGAATAAGGTAGCAGTGGTAATAAAAGTCCCCATCTCGCAGGATGGTTAGTCATACAGGGGGATATATTTAGTAGCCTGCACTGACAAATTTTGGGTACACTGTGAGGATATCTTCAAGAATACGAGAGTGAATAAAGTAATTGCAAAGCTCCAGGTACCTCATGCCAACTGGTCTGAAAATTCTAATCACTGGGCATTCAGTGATGTAGTGCGGGAGATCGTGCCGCAGTTCCTGCTCACAGAGTTTGCAACTGGAGTGCTCAGGATTGGGAGATCAGTCACCTGCAGCCACCTGCCACAGGTAGAGGTAACCCAACCTGATCCTTGCAACCACTGTGTCGCACAGTCTAGTGGAGGTTTTTTTTTGCCTGCCCATAGTTCATGCTAGTTTCTAGAAAAAAATCTAGGGACTCGATCTGCCACATTTCATTGATAATGTTTGAGAGGCGGGTGGGGGAGGGGATTACTATTGGGCCCAACACTCCATATAATAGGACTTCTTAAAGCATTTAATTGAGACCTACCCTGACCAGCCTACGTCCATCCTGTACCCCAGACTATTTACCCTGCAAATTTGGTTAGGCTAGCCCCAAGCATCTGGCTTCCAAATTTGGAAAGACTGACAGACATTCTCTGTTATATAGATTATTATTATTATTATTATTATTATTATTATTATTATTATTATTATTATTATAAAATCAATATTTTTATACATTGTGTT